CCAGTCAGGAATTCTACATCTTCCTACTTGGCTGGCTTAAACTAACTGTTGTGGATTTCATTGACTGATGAAGCCATGTTTTGGCTTGACCATCACTGACTTTTCCAACCAGACCAATCATATGTCGCCTAACGTTTCCCGTCGAGGAAGGCGATAGCTAGACTGACTGACTGACTGCTTTCGACATAGAACTTTGTCACCGATGTGCAGCAGTTCAAGTCGCCACACTCCCTCCATGTACCACACCAAGCAAGAGAAGAAAGTAGAAGAAATGCATAATAGAGACAGTAAACAGAGGTGTGAAACAAAGGAATAGTAATTACGAAGAACAATATAGTTTCATTGGAAATCATAAGTCGGAAGGAGTGGATGCATCTGTGCCAGCCATTGAGAACGATTTTGAGCCATATCACCAATTGTTTTCAGCCATTGGTTTTTACCGTCCTGAAGACCTCAACCAGTCTGGATGTCTACACTTTCCTACATGGTCGGCTTAAACTAACTGTTGTGGATTTCATTTACTGGTGCCATGTTTTGGTTTGATCGCCTCTTGCTCTTTTCCAGTCTTACCCTATGTCAGCTAACATTGCCCATCGGTCGAGGAAGGCGATGACTAAGCCTACGTAAGACATGTCCTAACCATCTCAGTCGATGTGACTTCATAGCCATGTCGACTGATTTCCCCTCCTTACCTAGCGCTGGAGGGTTCATAGTACCATCTGTTGGTCCAGGTTGAATTAGGCTAAGCCAGTCTCAGTCGCAGGACATATTAGCTGTTTAAGTAGGTAGGATGAGTGCTTAAGTGAATAAGAGCCACATCTGCACATTTTGATGCCTTGTTAATCTGCTTTTATATCAACGTCTGTGTATACTCTTCGTTATGGAAAAATATGCTGGTGTAATGCTGCAGTTTGATATGCCTATGATTTTTAATACATGTCCACCTACCGCTTGAACTGCCACTGAACACTGTGCAATACTCGGATATAGATTCTTATCTGTATGTGGAACTGCCACCCCTGTGTCTGTTAGACATTACGACGCCTTTGCCGTTCAAGTGTCGCTTAGAATACATAGTCACCTCTCAACTGTCCGTACTACTTGTAGCAGAGAAAAAGCACACACATTATACTGTCTAAATGTTTTTTTTGTCATTCTTTCTGGACAGTACCTTCTCCAATGCCCTGGTTCGCCGCATTCAAAGCACTGGTGTTTCCTGGTACTCATTTGTGGCGCCGCTGCTTCGCACCACAAATCTTCAGTTTTCTGTTACCAATGGTTTGATTTCGGTGGCTGTATTACAGCCACCGTTGTGCTCAGTAACTATCTTGTTACCTTCGCGAATGCATCGATGCCTATAAGTTGTATGGTGTTGACCAGTTCTAACTGCCTAATTATGTATTCTTGGGCACTTTCGATAATCTGTGACGCCTATAGTTGTGTCTCAGACTCTTCACCAAATGTGGGGAGCGCGTGACGAAGTGTGCTTGTCAACCTCATTGCCAATACTAGTGGGTCTCCGTCCTGTCCCAGTTTCATGACACGGAACCGCTGCCTTTCTGTTGGGCTGTAGTACTCCACCATAAATCGTTCAACCAATACCTTCCAGACTACCTCACCACCCGCTTGCTTCGCACTGTCGTACGTTGCCTCTACCCGAACTCTTGGGGGCGTCCCCAGCACAGCCGTCTTCGCCGTTTTATCTTGACGCCCACCAATTCGGCGAATGCATTGAAGTCCCGTGAGGAGCTCTTTATGTCTCCTTCTTTGAAAGCAGCAGGCCATGAGATCTTCATTGTCTCTAGGCGGCGGAACCAAATGTAACAGCAGAAGATAAAAGAATTGGAAACGAACCTTGTTATTGAGAAGAAACACATCACATTTCTACATTTAAGCCACACTAAAAGTCGGCTAGGTCAGCGGACAATAAACTATTGTGATTGGTTGGTTATCGCCCCGAGGTTAAACAATAAAACTGAAAGTTGTGCGACGAGGTTATTCTATGTGTCCACATAGTAAACCAGATCCGAATTCGAGGAATAAACACTTGATTTCAATTGTTGACCGCTTTCTATCAATCTGCATTTATATGGAAAACGGCACAGTAGGATTACACCTCTGAAGAGCCCTAAACCAGGACAAAACAGCCCTCCCGTACCACCTGGTTTTTAATGATCCTGAAGAAATCTTAAAATTGAAACTGGAATTAATCCAGATCCCCATTGAAAAACCAGCAATGGAGCACTGGATAGCTGTGTTCGCCCTAGTTTGGGACTCATCGGTAGTACGCACCCACCGACAGAGTTCTAATCCAGGACCTTACGGTTATAAGCCGAGGGAGCTCGTCTGCCATTAGGCCACTGCGACTCGACTCAATGGCGAGCCTGTGAATTCTAATTTCTACCAACTCGTGATTTTAGCTTAACCACCAACCAATGTCATCGACAGGATCTCGATCCTCACTCCCGATTGGATGGACCCCACTAGTCACAACTTTTCATTAGAATTCCAGGCAACTTCTTCCTGTAGCTAGTCACTGGCGAGCATCAGATTAATTTTCAAGAAATGGTTTTGTGTGGGGATTCTCTTAGGTCCCGCTGATGACATTGATGCATGTCCCGCTAAAATTATGGGAATGTAGAAGTTAGAATTCATGGGCTGGCCATTGAGTCGGGACGGGTCCCAACGGCTGAATAGTGTACGAGCTTGCCTTGTGACCGGAAGGTGCTGGGTTCGAACCCTGGCAGTGGGTGCGTACTGCCGATGTGTCCCAAACTAGGATGATGGAACAGCTGTTGAGTATACTGCCTGGTTTTCAGTGGTTCTCTATGTGAATATCAACTAAAAAAGAAGGCTATTAGTGTGTAAATCTTTATCTAAATATTCCCTTAAATTTTCCATTGAAAAGAAGAAATGTGTTTCATTTTCAACATTGGAATCTAAATCATTCATTTGTAGCGTGATATGAACACTAATTTCAGTTCCTATCATTCAAAGTAGAAGATTTTAAAAACCTAAACGCAGAATTTTTTTAAATGACATCGATTTACATTTAGTAGCTGTAAATGAGAGTATTATCAGGATTATTATTTTGATTTCTAGTAGGATTACTAACTAGAATCAGTAAGTAGACCTTGGAAAGACAGAATGTACTGGGCAGAGGTTTCGTCCTACTCTATGACTCTTTATTGGTACTTACCATCTATGTCTTTATTGGGGATGAAATCTTCCAGTACCTTCAGATTATGACGAGAGCTGCTATGAACAACTTAAACTGATTGCCGAATAACATTGAGGGTTGAAATACAATATTGGGGCACCGATGCTGGACTTAGGCGTGCTGATCACGGATACTGTTTTACTATGCCGATAACATTATACGATAGTTATCTATTTCCTCCAGCCCGCCCTACTTAAGTCAAAACACAACGCTGTGAGATGGAAAGTATATTTATCCGTATATGAAAGAAAGAAGTTATACGATAGTCTACCATAGAAAACGATATATATGGCCAATGGCGTTACTAGGGAAGATAGCGAATAAGTATATTCCCTAGCCAGACCACCTCGGTCCAGTCTGACCGTAAACATGTGACATATCTGGTTGCGGAGCAAGTGCCCATTAACCATTTAGCCACTAGAATGGTATCTGATGGCCCATGAGTTCCATCTGCTACCAATTTGTTATGCCTAGCGCCACCATCAGGCAGTGTCACCGGTGAGTATTTGGCTTGAGATCTGATTTTGCGGGCCACAGTAGTCACAACTTACTTGAACTTGATCCTGTAGTTAACCACTAGTGACCACAACATTAATTTGCAAGTGTTAGTTTGTATGGATTGCGTTCTAGTGGCTGAATAATCAACAGATCAGCTTTGTAACCTGAAAATCTGAGGTTTGATCCCTGTTGTGGAGTCATTGATGGCAGTCGTTTCTGAAGAGCTCCAAACTAGGATGAAACAGCTGATCAACACCCCATGATTTTCATTTCTTAGTTAAAAAACGTCCTTTTTGGTATGTGACATATGTGTGTTGCCAAATAACTTTTCCTGACAGCAATTTCGATCGCTGACTATTATATTCAAAGGTGGTGCCGCATTAAGTCATAATTGGAAAAATAATTCAAATAACACTGTCATTGTGAACAGATGATGTGCTGTCAAATGCTTTATTCATTAATAAAATGAAAAGTAACTTTCCGGCATCTAAGCAGAGATAGTGAGGCGGTATTGTAACCGCTGAAGATATGTATAGTTTTATCTAAACAGCTGTTTTGACTGGATGTTTACTCACTATCCAATATAAATTTCTTCATGATAATAAAGGCTTTTGTATTTCCCGATGAATGAAAAACAAAACGATATTACTGTTTTTACTGACGTTTCGCTATTTAATGCTGCTGCTAATAGCTTTATCAAAGTATTATTAAACCGGAATTTACAAAATCTCAGCATATATATAACAAAGAGTTAAGAGGTGAGAAAATAGACTACTTAGGTCAAGTTAAAGGGACATATTGAAAGTCAAAAATAGCGATGAAGATAACTAAACCAAATAACAAAGGTAATAGTACATCTGTTATGATATCAACACAAAGTTTACTAACTTGATCATCGTTCGTCAGTCTGGGGTCATTTTTCGTTGTCAAATTGGTCAACTGGTAAAGATAACAAAACAATAAGTGTAGATTGTTGGATTTGATCAGTGTGTAACATTATAAAAGTAGTGTATGCTTACATAGTGAACTTGCTTATCACATTCGTGTTGATTTTGTCACTTCATGGGGGAGGGGAGGGAGGTGTTGTAACCAGGTCAGATTCCCCCAGTTATCATGAAACGAACTATTCGGGGTCAAATGGTGATCACAGTTCGTATTAAAATGTTATATATATATATATCATTTATTGTTCAGATATATTGTTATTATTCTAATTTTCTTTATTTTCTCCCACCCCACCAATCCCCTGTTCTTATTTCATACTTTTTTTCTTTCAATCTAGTCAAAAATGGATGGTTTTGTAGTAGTCCACTTTGTTGGTTGGTGGGCGAAAATGTTAATCCTCCGTGATTATTGGATATGCAATGTATTGAGTTTTGCATTTGAAGTATTGGAATACTCATTAGAGCATCAGTTACCGAATTTCTCTGAATGTTGGTGGGATCATGTAAGTTTCTCACATTTTTTTTTAAAAAACAATATTTTTATCTGTAAAATGTAATAAACTAGATTTAATATTTCGTTTAATTTGTTTATATGCTTTTTTATTTATAATTATGAAAAACAGGAATTCTACGGTTTAACTTATGAAGTGTTAAGGTAGTTAGCAAGTTAGTTGTGTTCCCAGCGTGTCATTGGCATGCGATTCGCCCCTGTAAAATGTAAGATGCTGCTACAGGACTGGACTACGTCAACTCCTAGCTTAGTGATAGGGAGTGAAGTGATAGAACATGTTGACCACTTCACCTATTTGGGAAGTTGTATCAGCACCAACGGATTGATTGGTGACGAAATCTCAGCACGGATCCAAAAAGCTCGGGCTGCTTTCGCTAACTTACACCATCTCTGGCGTAGGCGTGACATCCGACTATCAACCAAGGGACGTGTGTACTGCTCATCAGTTCGCTCCGTCCTTCTCTATGGCTCTGAAACATGGCCAATACGAGTTGAAGACATGAAAAGGTTGACTGTTTTTGATCATAGATGTCTACGATCTCTTTCTCACGTTAGGTGGTATAATAAGGTAAGTAATGTTGACGTTAGGTGTAGAGTGTTGGGCAAAGAGGGAAAATCAATCGACGAGGCTATAAAGTTACATAGATTGAGATGGCTAGGTGACGTGCTGCGCATGCCTAACCATCGCCTCCCCCGACGGGCATTACTGGCTGATTTAGGTGCAGGTTGGAAAAGAGTAAGTGGTAGCCAAACAAAAACATGGCATCAATCCATGAAATCCTTGACAGTTAAACTGAGTCAGGTAGGGAGGGAGATGCAGACTTCCGGGTTGGGGCCCGCCCTCGGGACTCCAAGAATCAATGGCTGGAGACAATAGGTGACATGGCTCGAAATCTTTGTCAATGGCTTACGCAGATGTATTCAGTCTCTGTAATCTTTCATATTCCTTTCTACCATTACTCATTCTGTTTCACTCTTATACTTGTCAAAACTCTATTGATTCTCTTCATCACTCATGTTCTTGTCTACCTTTGTGTGCTATTTAGGAAGGTGGCAACTGGAACTGCTGCACTTTGGTGTCAAGTTCTATGTTGAATCCAGACAGACAGAGACCAGCGTATCATGATGAGGTGCACACACATGCATATATTTTAGTTTCTCTTTCCTCCTCTCGTAGAATTGAATTGAATTTCTATCTCCTCACAGGTGTTTCCTTCCTATTCATCGATTGCCAACACTCCTTTTGACATATATAACAGATTCCCCCCCCCCCCGCCTAACATTGTCAACCAGGTCATATCAACTTTATTATAATTGCTCTGTCATCATCAGGTGAGTTGGTTGTCAAGAATTATTAGTCCTCTCTGTAATTGTCTAACTTAAGAAATCATCGTGGTCGTCTTTTTCTCTAAGGTTTGTAACTGACAATAGTTACATGTATTTCTTACTATGAATCCTACTGATTGAAACAATAGGACAGCTAAAGAATCGTCTATCAGATAAATTAAGAAAAAGTAATATTGTGGTGTGATGCAGATTAACAGGAAGCCGCCAACAGTTCAAATCAACATTGTGAGTCAACGGTCGCTGGTTAGAGAGGTAGAAATGTGTTTTTCCCTCAAATTTGCATTTAGTGTACAGTGTGGTCATGCAATAAACTTATTGGACAGCTTGTATAACCTCGAACCGGCCAATCGCCAACCACTCAGAAAAATGTATTCTTTTCTGAAACAGAGGAACGTTACTAGGGCAAGGAATATACCAATGTCATATGTTTTTCAATAACAAAGGTCCGTTGAAATAATAGAGAAGATTTGTAGCTCAGGTGGATGATTTGCAATTAATAGTGTTCTCTGAGCTGGTTGGTTTAGTTGCGAAGCTTTCGTCGTCCTTCAGGACAACATCTTCAGCGCCATATTTAGCATAAAGTGGAATGATTTAAATTTCTTCATGAGTGATAGAATTGCGTCTCCCGGTAACCAACCATCTTTACATATGTATTGACCATTTTCTATTGACTTGGATTTTAAACTTTCTGGTCACCTGATTTGCTTTTTATTAGTTGGTATATTTCGTCTATATTAACGTGTTTGTTACTTGCATTTTCGTTCGAGTACCAGGCTTCTAGGAATTCCCTGACTGCACTTTTGGTGTTTCGTCTATCTAAGATTTTGACATTATCCCAATCAAATTGATGACCATAATTGTCTATATGCATTGATACTAAAGAATAGATATCGTGTCTTTTCACGGCTGATTTGTGTTCCTGGATTCTGATTCGAAGGGGACGGCCACTTTGGCCGATGTAATGCCTGTTACAGTTCACACAAGCAATTTATTTTGTAAATGGTATTAATTTTATCCCCTTTTTCTGTTGGATCTTTTGAACAATTATGGTCATCAGTTTGACTGGGATAATGTCGAAATTTTAGACAGAGGAAACACCAAAAGTGCCAGGGAATTCCTAGAAGCCTGGTACTCAAACGAATGTGCAATTAACAAACACGTTAATATAGATGAAATATACCAACTAATAAAAAGCAAATCAGGTGACCAGAAAGTTTAAAATCCAAGTCAATAGAAAATGGTCAATACATATGTAAAGATGGTTGGTTACCGGGAGACGCAATTCTATCACTCATGAAGAAATTTAAATCATTCCACTTTATGCTAAATATGGCGCCGAAGATGTTATCCAGAAGGACAACGAAAGCTTCGCAACTAAACCAACCAGCTCAGAGTACACTATTAATTGCATAATAAAGGTCCATTATCCAGTCTCTTACCATCTCCTCTCCAATTATCGTACAGAACAACGATCGTTAGAGCGAACAATTGTGGTATCAATAAATTCTTCTTCTTCTTCAGGCTCTACAATTATAAATCCATTAGTAAATTTAAGCATACAATAGCCAGCCAGTTAAAGGCGAATTAGAAACATTTCAGAAATGTGTATTGTGGAACAAGTGAAACATCGGATGGAACAACAGTCAGTTACTTTTTGAATATGTATGGTCAATGAGAGCATGAGATGAAATAATTTAACGATCCATGTATACGCTCAACAAAGGTACAGGGGTTCCGAGGGTAACTGCAATCAATGCTGTTTCAGACAGTATGAATAGCACGTGAAATAAACCACCAAATGGGATGGACTAGACATAAGTTCAAGGCTGAAAATAACGACAATAATAACAATAATAATAAAAACAATGATTGTGAAATAACAACAATGATGTGGTGTAAACTTAAAGGTACTATTGGTAAACAATTATCACCTAATGATCATAATAATGAGGAGGAGGATTTGTTGACTTTATTGGAGGCCAAGGTAAACATAGAGATTGAACATACTTCTTTTGTATACAAAGAGCCGGTTTTCTGGTATTGATTGCTACCGCTTCAGCTACTGATAGAAGACGTAGTCGAGCTCCTCCAGATAGATTACCAGGAACGGGGTATATAATTGAGAACACCTGCGTAGGTTTGATCAAGTGTCTAGCATCTACTAGGAGGGCTAAGACTGAACTATTTACACATTTGGTTTCTCCTTTACCTAACCATACACGTACATGTTCACGCACGCGCATGGATTAAGCCCTGTGAGTACGCCCAATGTAACTAGCTCCACATGAGCAGTTGAATTCATAGATACACATTGATGAAGCCATCTTTAGTAATTTGTCCTTGACTCGTTGCGTGAATACCGGTTTAGTTGAGAAACGGAGTACCAGTTTAACTGTATTAAATGTTCTCTCTACTGCTCTATTAAGTCGACATTTTAGAATGTCAGCTACAGTTTCTTCTTTGTAACTCAACTTAAGATACAAAGGTTTCTTATCTACGATATTCATCGTTATCCTATCTCTAGATGTCGACATATACTTTTTTAGGAAGTTGTCTGGATATCCACTTTCTTGTGGTGTAAGTTTCAGTTTACACATTTCTTCCTTAATGCTTCAACTGAGACACTTAACTAAGTTTCTTTTGTATTGAATCGGTGTGAAGCTATGAGAATGGGTGTACTGACCCGTCCAAGTCTTCTTTCTAAATAGGCTCCTTTGTAGACATCCGTCTAGGAAAGGCCTATCGTTATTTTCTTCTTTCTCACATGTAAACTGAATGACTGGGTGAACACTATTAACAGCATTCAGAAGCTCTTGTTTATTAAGATTCCTGTCATAAACGATGAAGGTATCATCTACATATCGACAATAATAGTCAAGCCCCTTAACCCTGTCTCTGAGTGGACCATTTTCAAGCTTTGTCGGGAAAATATTCGCTAGCATACGGCTCAGAGGTGAGCCCATGGCATCACCATCAACTCGTCTATAAAAATCATTGTTGGACATAAACTGGACATTCGTAGTGCATTTCAATAGTAATTCCTTGACTTTTACCAATGGGATTCCTACATGTATCTTTCGTTCTGTCACTTGGTCACATAAGTAGTAGTTGACTGTTTCGAGCAGTGGAACGTCGTTGGTGAATAATGATGCTACATCCAGTGACATCATTTTCTTTGCGTTTACATTCAGGCTTTTGGTACTTTCCACAAAGCTAAATACGTCTTGTACACTGAAATTCACTAGCTCACAAAATAATGGTTCGAATGTCTTCACCAACCATTTTACTGTAGAATGATAGGAAGACTGACTCATTTATGCAGGATAGGATGTAGTGGTACTCCGGGGGCTCGTGGACTTTCTTTGAACCATATAGTCTTGGTGTGTTTCGACTCGTCCAGTGTACACTTAGGAATCAGATTACTCTCAACTAGTGATTTTAGTGTCTTAGCCATTTGGCGTTCGGTTGCCTCAGTTGTGTCTTTACAGTTGCTCAGCTTTTGAAATTTCGTATGGTCGCTTAGAATGATAACCATTTTGTCTAAATAATCACTCTTATTCATGATAACTGTACCAGATCCTTTATCAAGTCTAGTTATTATCAGGTTTTCGTTCTTCTTGAGGTCACGTAATGCCTCTCCGTGTT